CTGGAGCAAGAAGTGGTCTATGTAACATTTTTGCTAAAATTGAGTTAAGTGTAGATTTGAGATCCTAATGCCAAATTACATACGTATAACAGTGGAATATGTTACATTTCCGTTATTTACGCATAAATAACTCTATAAGACTAGTTTTGCACTTTAATATTTTGGCATATTTTTTTGAGCAAAAGTAGTCTATACATAAACCAAACATTTATTTCTACAGTCGTGAAGCTAAAGTGATCTACGTTACATTATTGCGTTACTCGAATCACTGTGTTTACTTTACTTTTACTTTTGATTTAGAAAGGACGTTACCAGTCCATACCTCAACACTAGTGAACTGTAATATTAACGTTAGTACCTATAACTTAGGGATGCATTACTATTTATCACAGAAGGAATTAGTAACCTGCAATATATGGTACGAATCTACCGGAGTAAAAGGATCTTCGGAAATAGTATCTGCATATCTTCTCTTCATTGCCTCATCTATGTATTTGTAACGAGTAAAGGGTGGGTTGCCCCACAGCATGTATACCTCACTAGGCCATTTTGTGCATCTTCCGTAATAATACCTCATCAACCAACCAACCTACAGATTTGATGTAGTTACCAACGTCGTCGAAAGGTGCTTTCCATATATCGGCTGGTGTAAGCCAAAACTTGCCGAACACAAATCTTCTACTAAATGAGAGCGTCGAAAAAGCATAGAGGATATTCTCGATGACCTCATCTTTTTGTTCGCACCCCCTGCAAAGTGCGGATTCTGACAGCCTCATGCCATGGAGATGCTTTTGTACTTGGCAATGCGTGTGATCAGGCGCAGATTCTGTTGTGTGATAGTCAAGTATTTGTTTGCTGTGGTGTAGTCAGGGAGTCAGGGTAACTTAAAAGCTTCCTGGTAACTTAACAGCTTCTTGTTTCAGCCCACATTTCCTTGAATTTCACAAGGGAATGTTCTTTAATTAGGTCTGTCACTACCAATGTTGCCAATTCAATGAAAGCGCCAAGTCCAAAAATTATTTGGTTGCCTCATGCTGGAAGGCAAGCTGTAGCACCAGAAATTAATGAAGATTGCTAGATACAGTTATTAGATAAAAACAGTGATTGCTAACACTACAATCAACTTCTAACTTCTACTTTTCTGTTTATTAGTATTATCAACTCCCAACTGTTTGCCGTTATAACAAACATGAATTTACTCCTTACAAAAGCGAGTTATTTACAATTTTTTGTGAAAACAAAAAACGAAATAAAAATACTTGCAAAATATTACATGCAAGTCAGTGCCTTATTGTCTTAATCAGAGACATAAAGATAGGAAACGCAACGACCCTAGCAACGATGGCGTCATCTATGCGTCTCGGATGTTAACTGAAGGTACACGTCGTTTGTAGACAGACAGTAGACGTGGACAGTTTGTAAAAATTAATGAATTTTTAGTACATAATTGTTTTATTCTCTAAGGTGAACTAAGCGAAATGGTTGTAGTTATTTTTGTGTGGAATTTTAAGAAAATAATAGTTATATATTGTAATATTACAATGAGTCGGAGCAAGTATTGCATTAGTAACACATGCCACGTGAACAAATTTAACAACCCCAATGTGGCGTTCTTTAATTTATCAAAGTAAAATCTAACCATGTAAGTAGCCAATAGTAGCCAACTTTTGTCACAAAGTATTTATTTATGATTATTTATTGTTTTAGAGCATGAAAATGGCTTCAAAACGTTGGAGAAGATTTGATATAGAAAAAAAAAATCTGAATTCCCAATACTAAGTTTGCACTCAACATTTTATAAATGAGACACAGTTAGCCATTCGTTTGGAAAATAACAAAAATGCTATTTAACGTAATTAACATTGCAAATTTATTTACCAGAACATGAAAGTGCAATCGATATTTATGCAACCTTTATAGCCAGGTTTTTAAATTTTCCCATGTTGTGTTTGATATCGATAAAAGCGCCACATGTACGTCATATGTTAACTACATTCGAGCTGGTCGTTGTTAAGCATGTGCTTCTTATGAGCGTTTCCTATCTTTATGTCCCTTATCTCTGGTCTTAATTTCAGTATATCTCAAGAAAACGTCAATTTAGACAGGATTAAAAGCAATGCAATTTATCGTTATAATATTTACTCTAAATTGACAGAAGGTAAACTATCAAAAGTATTTAATTTGTAATTAAAAGAGTACTCAGCGGTTGAGTGTCAACTGAGCCCGTCCCCGACTGGTGGATAGGAAAGCGGCCAGGCTTTTCCTGGTTAGTGGTAGACATAAGTAGAGTGAGAGAACTTAAAACTCTTAAAAATTTAAGGTGTAAGGTAACATGCCAACGGATTAATTGTCGCAGGGGCAGATGCGGCAGACAACGTTCCTCTGAGGGTGGCTGGAGACATCCTCTTGTATCTAGCCTTGCGGGCGCATGCGGGGCTCTGCGTCGGTCGACCCTTCTTTCCTTACCTACTCGTGGGAATCTTATGGATCCAAGCCCACACAAATCCAAGGAGCAAAGGAGGCTAGACGTCAACGTTTACCTCCAGCAAAGGAGGCTGGACGTCAACGTTCACCTCCAACAAAAGAGGCTTTATGTCAACGTTCACCTCCACCACAGGAGGTTGGACAGCGATATCCACCTCCAAAATACGAGGATGGGCATCACCACCAGAGTGGCAAGAGGATCTATGGTTCTGAAGCAAAGAGGAAGAAGAAGGCTAAAGTGCAGGCAGGTAGAGCTTCAGCAGCTGCCACCAGCAGCATATGCTATCACTCCAAACCCAACCTAAGCAGTCTAATCAAGTCTTTGGGCAGCGACGCTAGGTCTAAAAAATCTAAATGGTTTAATTTTTAGCTTTCCCAGCAACAAAAACCAACAACCTAGAACAGCCATTTACATTCCTATGAAATATAAAGCCCACTCAATGGCACACCTTTCCACCTTCGATTTAACTGCAGTTTGGATGAAATGTGCCATCAAGTGGGAGAAGATAACGTTGATCCTGGCATCTGCATACTTCCCCTCCAATGCAACCATGCCACCACCTATCAAGAGTTCGAGGATATGATTGAATACTGTCTGAACCAGAAGTTTGAGCTGCTAATAGGTTGCGACTCAAATGCTCATCGCTTCAGTTGGAGAAGTAAGGATAACAACGCTAGAAGCAAGTTACTTTATGATTATATGATTACCAAAAATCTTTGTATTTTAAATAAAGGTACTACACCAACATTTTTAAACTAATACTAATAGATATCAATTCATCCTCAACTGATATCCATAAATCGATTCTAAACTAGCAAGTGGCTGATGACATTTCGATGTCAGACCACCGCTGGTTAACATTCAAAATAAACTTGATGTTGCCGACCTCCACGTTATCTCGAAACCTTAGGAAGGCCTGCAGGGCAACCTATGCTCACCTTCTCCAAGCAAACATGGACTCCATCTCACCGAGATATATCTTCCATAAGCTATATAGTTATAATAGACAAATAAAAGAGCCGGAACTGGCAGGTACGATTCATATCCACACCGACGGTTCTAAAACAAAACAAGGCTCAGGATGTGAAATATACTCCAGATCCTTAAAAATGGTCTGTGAGCAGTAGTGCCAGTGTAGTTCAAACTCAGCTCACTGGGATTCACATAGCAGCAAAAGAAATCACCAGAAGTAATATCACTGAAAAAAACATGTTCATCTATACAGATAGCAGACAAGCACTATTCACCCTGGACAGACCACGAATTTACTCAGAGTTAGTACTAGAATGTCACGAAGCTTTGGCCGAAGTATCCATCAACAATGTGGTCAACTTAAGATGGATCAAAGGTCAAGCAACATCGAAAGGTAATCGTCTTGCTGATTTACTTGCCAAAAAGGCAGCCAACCAAATACTTTTTGGACCTGGCCCCTCTATTGGACTGACATCGGTAGTGACAAACCTAATTAAAGAACATTCCCTTGTGAAATTCAAGGAAAGATGGGATGAAACAAGAAGCTGCAGACTTGTCAGGTAGCTTTTAATTTATTCTGACATACTACATCAAACAAATACTTAACTATGACTAGACAGAATCTGCGCCTAGTTACAGACATTATGACTGGACATTGCCAACTACGGAAGCATCTCCGTATCATAGGGCTAGCAGAATCCGAACTCTGCAAGTGATGCGAACAAGAAGATGAGACCATCGAGCATATCCTTTTTTTTTTAATTTGGTGTCATCGGCATCAACTATTAAGGTTATTAGCCTCGTGTTCTGTGTAGGCTTTGTTACTGTTTCCCATCGCCACTTTAAGAACAGCACTGTTAATTAGAACCCAACAGAAGAGTTGTGTTCGGCGAGAATTGGCTAAAACCAGCCGATATAAGAGAAGCACTTCTTGGCGACGTTGTCAAATACATTAAATCTGTAGGCTGGCTCACGAGCTAGGAGGAGCCTAGCTACTTAGGAGAATGCACAATGAGCCTAGGACCTAAGTGCCGTGGGTTAACCCACCCTCCACACGTTACAGATACAGATTACAGAATTAAAAGAGGAGACAAAAGAACAATAAATCTTTAAACGCCAATATCTTTATGACTAAATTTTCTTTTCAGGTTTTCGCTCTGGACTAGTAATGCCACCTGTACGGGTTTCACCCGGACTGTCCACAAAAAATGTGTCCGGAGTCCAGTCGCATAATGAAAATATCCGGGAATATCTGGATAACTTTAGAAAAGACTTGTTTTGTCAGAAGGATTTGGTTTAGACAGAAGAACCTGGTTTATAAAATGTTATGAGCTGAGAATCTTTGTTTTTTAGAAATTTCGCAAACAAGGGTACGGGTTTCGAGAAATGAAAAGGTAGCAGCCCTGTGGGCCCTTAATTTTCGGACAACTCTCACGAAACGTCATTTGTCATAAGATTAGCGCAATATCCTTCATGGTAAACGTTATTTTCTATTAGGGGAATAAGAAATGGCATTAGGTTTTATATAAGATTATTATATTACCTTGCTCCCATTTTAGATTTTCTTCAGTTGTTTGTTTTTCTTTTTGTTCCCTCTTATCCATCGCTTCCTGTCTTGCAAGATCATCTTCTAGTAAAGCTTTCTTAAATAGATACCTGAGAAAAAATATGAATTAATTTACTCAAGACATATTTTAAATTCATTCTTAACAGGACAAAAGCTAGACAAAAGCGGAACCAGACCCATAAACTATCCATCTAAAATTACACTGGTAAAGTATTAAGCAGGTAAGAATTTTATTATAATACATTTATTAGCAATCAAAACAAGGTCTGTATTTGTAATAACATATTTCTTACTTGTTTCATGCCTTAATTGCACGGATTTTGTGGTAAATCATTATTAATAATTTCGAAGTCGGAAAATAAAATAATTACCTTTTCCAGAATAATTGATGTTCTACAACATCAGGTACTAATTTTGCATATTGGCTCTTTAAAATTTCTGAACTATTAACATATTTGGCTATTCTTTCATCACTTAATTGATCATCTATAATTTCTAGCCAACACTGGTATTGTTTGGATAAACTTTCGTCTGGATTTTCCATAAAAGTAGTGGGATCTTTCTGAAGCTCATATAATCCTTTCTGAAATCAATTTTTTCTCTTAAAAAATTAGTATAGCTCATGAATATCATTCAATTTGCTTATCTAAATATAAAATGTACCTGGAATTTATTTAAAATTTTCGTTTCTGAATTCTCTACTATCAAAACTTCTGTATCGGAATCATCTGGACTGGGATTTAAGACTGTATTCATTTGACCTAAAAATGTGTTTTACATTAAAGTTAAAATCATATAAACATTACAATAAAATATGAAAACGTGTACAATCAAAAGCTGTTCTAGTGGTCGCAAAAATTCAAAAAATAAAAAAGACATGCTGCAGTCGTTATCATTTTTCCAAGCCACGGTATGTATTAAATAATTTTTATTTTTATTAAATTTGAATGAATAATGTTAATTTTCCTTCAGTAAATTATTGAAATTATTAAAATGTATGAACTATCAATTAGTGAATAGTTTCTAAATATTTTAAGAGTTTAAAATTTAATAATTTTGTTTTTATTGTTGTTATATGTTGTTATATCAAAAAGAATTGCCAATTGGACAAAATCTTTAGGCATGGATTTAAAAGAGACTATATTTGTCAGTTTCATTCCAATGCAGATCATATAAAAATGTAAGACAGAATAAAAATAGGCAATATTGTTCACTTTAATTATTTGAGTAAAAAAAAGGCAATTGCATGTAGATCTGAAACAGCAGCATAAAACAACTGAGTGTTGAAAATCTAGAGGAACAGCTGTATACTAGTAGAAATAAAGAAAATCAATAATTAAATAGAAACCCGCTTTTCATCGTCTGATTTAAATATAGATGAGCAATATATTTAACTATATATCATTGGATCTTGCTCTTCTAGTACACGAGCGTCATTCTGGTCACTTTCTGAAACCTTATTTGCTACATATTCTTGACAAACTTCATAAACGATTTTCAATATTAAAATCCGAGAATAACGATCAAGGAGAAGCGACAGTAGCTGTCGGTGCCTTTGATATCGGATGTACCTTTTTTACAGCATGACTTTGATTGATACACAACTTAGCACGCTGAGAAAACATGCTTATTTTCTACACGGAGCGAAATAGTTTGGCAAATTATCTGAAATCATTGTTATAGTCCATGCGCAAATGTTGTAATGTGATTTAATTACATTGAAGTAGTTAGGGTTAATAGCAATGGTGAGATTTCGGCACCAAAATATAATTCATTATGTAATAATTAATTATTTATTATAAAAGTAAAAGACGTTTATTATTTTATAATTTATCTATAAAATTTGTTCAATATTTGGTTTATTTATTGTTAAAAATGTAATAGAAGCCCCATATTTAAATTAAATCACCTTTTCCTCAAGTAAAAATAAGGTAAATAAAATTAAGGGTGCCAAAAAAAATTTAGGTAATAATTAAAAAGACATTAAATTTGACATATTTAACTAAATATCTGCAATGTGCTTATATTTTCAAAAACTTTTAGGTTTCAAAAAGTACTTACATATTTTTAGAATTTCTGGATTTATATTATATTAAAAGGACTTTCAAGTTTATCACTCATTTCTGTATAAACAAGTGTTTTCTCGCCAAGTTAAGCCAGATGTCATTTAAGGTTTATGTATTTAGAGTTAAATACCTGGCCTGTCTATCACCCAGATAATACAAATATGTCCATTGGACGTCCATTCGATATACAATTTTGAATGTCTAGACGTCCAAGAATGAGTTTTTTTCTGGACTTCCGACATCCAATAGACGTCCAGTGAAGTATACAAATGGCACACTTTTGACTATTCAACGTTCACGTTCAATTCTGGAATATATTTAGACGTCGAATACTGAACATTCAAAAAACGTCCAGGATTATATTTCCATTCAGACTACATCCTCACTTTTTTTACAGAACCGCAACTTACCACACTATTTTATATTAGTAATAATTTGTTTATTATTTTCGCAAACCGCTATACACTATTTATTTTTTTTTTTATTAAAAATTGCTTGACCTGAGCAGGCATCGAACTCACGACACATCCATTATCATTTTACCCTTTCAATCGCTAGACGAGCTCGACCAAGGAACCACTTAAAAACTTTTTACTAGATACAGTTATAATTGAATAAGATTTCAAACTTCCGCTGATAGAATGAAATGCAATAGATTCAATTTGTCAATTTTTAATGACCAGTTATATTAAAAAAAAGAAGTATATATTATAGATGAGTATTATCTGGTAGGCTTAATAAATAATGACCTAAGATGGACGTCCACTGGACATCAAAATACTACTAAATTTAAAATTAAGTCCAAAAACAGACGTTCTCTGGGTATCAATATTCAGCTGTCAATTTAATTAGCATAAACGGACGTACACTGGATGCCCGGATATGGACGTCCTGACCCACAAATAGATCTAAAGTGGACGTACATTGGACTATGTGTGCTGTCTGGGCATAGACGAATTTTTTGAAATAATACTTATTTAAGTATGCACCAATATTTCCAAAATCAACTCCAGTATAATTCATTCAATAAATGTTAATATTAATGGGCAAAACATCTTTATATTGACATAATTGTACCTTACAATTTAGCCATAATAAAGGGATTTCGCCCATTTTGACCAATCCTAATTGAAACACGCGGATTTATTATATTTTTTTAAATATAATTTCAAAATAAAATAAACAAAATCTCCAGTTCATTGTTTATTAAATTTATTTAAAAGAAGAAAACATATATTTCACAAAATACAATACCTACATATGAAAAATAATATGTCAAAAATGATTAAATCATTATACTTAATATTTATGCATGTGATAAAATTCTTAGTTTCCTAGTAACTTTTTTGGCACATTTTATATCTGTATTAGAATACCTAAGTGTGTAAAAATCTTCATCTTATTACTATACAAAACAAACACCAAAAAATATTACTTAACATTGCTCACGTATTAAACACAACTTGGACTGACTTTGACAGATAACATCATTTTGAGTGATACACAACTTATTTTCACACATGCGCGTCACAAAACGGTACACTAAAAACACCAAGCTGTCGCTTCTCCTTGATCGTTATTCTCGGATTAAAATAATTAATTGACAGGAAGTATATTTTTCCCAAAAGATACATTTAAAGTAACCTCTGCATATACGGCAAATTTGTATGGGCGAATGCTAGTCTTAATACGTTGAAATAGTTCTACGAAGACTAAAAGCCTATACCAAAATTAATAAATTACCTGCAACAGTTAATAGGCGCAGAAGCAGTTTTTTATAAATTAGACACATATGCATTTAAAATGAAAATGGTTGCAATTCTGAGTAAACTTTAATAAATTTCTAACAATATTGACTGTTATTTATTTACTGATAATTAAACATATCGGTAAGCTAACATTATTTACATGTTCTTCTCCAGACTTCATAAATGTTTTTGGGAAGAATATTGGCGAATGTTTGTTATTGATTTGAAGCAGCATAACCTCATTTACTTTAATTTTACTAATCAGAGTAATAGTTCAGTGTATTTGAAAAATTACGATATCACCCAACTTTTTCTCTAAATTGACGTTTCTATGTTAAAGTATTAACAGGTAAATATTTAAATATGCTTTGTATACCGGGTGTGTTTGTAAATAAGTGCCAAATATTTTAGGGGGTAGTTATTTTGTTAAAAAGTCAGTGCCGCATCATTTTTTTTTTATTAAAAAAAGTTGTGGCATTCTCGCAGAAACGCTACTGGTGCGACCTCAAAAAAAATCATTTTCCCCTCCAAAGCGTTTTGTAAATTTCGAGTCAATATCTTTAAAATTCATTGAACTAATAAAGATAAATAAAAAATATTGCGGTTACGCCAAGGTCAATTAACCGGGAGGGTTATCCAAGAAGGATACTTGACATTAGTATTTACCAGTGGTGTTTTGTATTTATTGTATTGTTTGAAAATGTAATATTTTTATTAGATTAAAAATTCAGAAAACAAAGTCTTTTCAAAAGTGGATAATTATATTTCAGGATTTTTACAATTTAACATTATTTTTAATGATTTATCAAATTTTTACCTAGTCAATGGGCCATATTCACATGTGAGATATGCTGTTTTATAAACTATATTGTAATAGTTAGTCGCTATACAAGTTATTCTAAATAATCAGTTCGTTAAAAAAGCTAAAAGTTTTTAAATTAAGCCCAATTGAAATTTAAAATTTGAAATTATACGTCATCGGGAATAGACCAATCAGCTTGTGTCGAAGTTTTTTTTGTTTTACAAAACCAAGCCAACGAACAAACCTACATACAGAATGTCGAAGTGAACGCACATCTAAGTGACATTTAAAAATTGACAGCACCTAACAACTAACCTTAGTTTTTTGTTTTGGTTTAATTTTATTATTAATCTGAACTTATCTGGGTAAATTATCCTGTGGGATATAGGATATATAAAGGAAGAAGAATATGAATTTATCAGCTGTATTTATAAAAGTTGAATCAAGTATTTTTCCCATTGTAAACGAAAATATGATTACCGAGATGATTACTGCATTTTTAACAATACTCAGTTTCCAAAAGATAGAAAGGTAAAACTTTATTTATAAATTGTTTTAATGGTAGGTAGTTACAGCTTATATGAAGCAGTACACTTTATAGTAAAACATATTTATCTCAGGTTTTATTTTTAGATCTGCCAAGCAAGAATATGGAGATATTTACTTTTTCCATAAGAGAGAAGGAGACAAATTACACCTAAACATAAAGTACAGCAAAAACCTTATGATGTGGCTGTTTTTTAGTGCACAATGCTTAGGATATGTTGAATCTCAAGGTTTGTAATATTTATTATGCTTTTTTGTTTTTATATCACATATAATAAACAAATATTCTTATAAAATATTCTTATAAATATTTTTTTTCTAATTTTGACATAAAGACATTTTTTGTAATCGCAGCAAGTGTTAAAATAATCTAGAAATAGATTTTGTTAGTGAACCTAGTAATAATTATGATACCAAAGAATGCTGCAGAGCACCTATGAAATTTTGAGTTAAAACATGCCATATTTTTAGGCTATTTTTATACCCTTTTCAAAAATTTTATGCTCCTCGTTTTATGCAAAACTTAAAATGCTCTGATAGCTTCGAACGAAGTCAGCAAAGCACCTCTGTTTTATAAAGTTTTTTCTGTAAAAACAGCA